TGTTGGGGAAAGGTGCATACGTATTTTTAAAATCAGACATTTGACATGCTTGAAGACTAATTCTAAATAAAAGCAGTTATTAATGGAATGACACCCTTGAGAACTCTCCAAGTCTAGCATGCTCCTCCATGTATGTGTACACACCCGAATTGTAAACACAATGTCTTTGCCACCAGTTACCAATCTCCTTATTATACTGAAAACAAGCCATTTTAGTCTGCTACTTTAGTCGACTCACCCCACCTCGCAGTTCTCTAAATGTGTAACTCATCCATAATGCATAGTAATAGCCAAGAGCTCAGATTTTAAATATGTCAGCAAAATCTAGTTTTAAATCCTGACTCCAGATTATTAGTGTGACATTGGGTAAAGTGCTTTAGTTCTCCGTGCCTCAGTTTCCTTATTAAAAAGGGGGTATATAAATGCTTACTCCATGGGGTTTTTATAAATTTTCTCCTAAATTGTCTATGATGAATGGGAGATAATGTTGCTATATTGTAATGCCTGAAAAGTTTTGAGTTGATGATTACCTTGTAAATTCACTTTAAATTGAATAAACATATTATTTAATAAGGATTTTTTGTGTGTGTCCATTAAGTGAAATTTACTTGAGTTTGCTAAATTAGTCCACAATTTATATGGCCCATTTTTTTGATGATCAAGATTCTAAATAGCAAACTCTTCTTTCTACTTGAGATTGATTTTCATGGGAAAAGAATACCGCATAATATGTAGCATTCAACTAATCTATTGTGTTAATTTGGTAGTATAAAAAGATTTGTAAATAATGAATTTCCATACTCTTGAAGATACCTTTATACACCTTGCACTGCTTCTGAATTTACTCATGCCTTGTTTTAAAGTTGGACTTTCTCCTGACAGTGTGTGTTAACAATTGGAAAATTCCCTATCAGTAGACTAGCACCATCTTGACAGCCCTGTGTTCTCCTTCTACCTTGCTAATTGTTTCCTTGGGATTATTTGGATTGTGTAGAAAGCTTTTGCAAATCCTCTTATTACTGAAGTCATTGTTGCCGGCAGGAATAAGATTAAAAGTGCTTAAGTCTGTAGAGTTGTTTCTAATTTGTACGTGTCATTTCAGTGGCATTTTAACAGAACTCTGTCTCCTGTCCCTCCTTCTCCCCTGGTACTATCTCAAGTTAGGTCCAAGAAGCCAGGCCATTGGAAGAAATCTCATTTTATCCTCCTAATTATTATGCTGGCACTCAGGAGATAATTTTTCCCTTCATGCACTGCCAATTAATATGCAAATGAACTGATAAATATTTATGCAATGATTTAAATTATGCAGGGAGTGCTTTCAGTATATTCTGTAAATGAATTGTTCGTGGACTTCAAAGTGCTGGCTGCAGTGCTAACGAGGGGAGATTTGCATAAGGCCCTAATCACGCGCATACTGATTAAGCTTCATTATGGAAACTGCCAGCTGCAATCTTTGTTTCTATTTTATTACAAAAAGGGGAACTTTTCATGCTTCAGTTGCCTTGATAATGTCAGTCCTAGCTGGTAGGAGAGACTAAAACTCCTCTGAGCAACTGAAGTTTCCTTATTCAGTTGAAGATTGCTATGGTGTAACTGAAGAAGTTGTATTTTGCTTCTCCCCTTAATCATTACCCCCCACACCCTTGTTCTCTTAAGAACATAGTGTAGATTTGTTAGAAATAGTAGTACCTTCTTTCCCCCACCCCAAACTGCTACCTGTTTCTTCCTTGTTTGGACTGTCTGCACCTCTAGAAGATTTCACAGCAATGCTGGACTGCAGTGACTATGTTTTAGGTGGGTACCAGCACAGTTCTTTTCTTAGAAGCTTTAATATGGAAATAGCATGTGTGGGGTTGACTATGCATAAATGCTTAATCGCATATGCAACCAGTGCAGGGGAGGGGGAGAGCTGGGTTGAGCTGGGAAGGAGGAAAGCATTTGCAAAGCACAAGCATACTTGAATTTGTAGTAGGTCCCTCCCTGTGACTAGCTCTTCTGGTTCAGAGGGTATTTTCTGTAACTAGTGTGGATTTAGAATTCAGCTTGAGTGAAGGACATTTTTGATTTTTGTAAATTTCTGTTGAGAGCATTTCATGTAGTTCTAAAAACATTTTAAGTCTGAAACAAGGTATAAACTGTACTTACTATATACATATTAATAAAAATGTTTTTCATACCTAATGAAAATGTCTTATACAAAAAGCAAAAATGCTCAGTGAAAAATAAGGTAGAGTCATTGTGCAGAATTGTTCCCTTAAATATTAATACAGAGCATAATTGTACTGGTTACTGCAGTAGATCTATTGATCAGTTCTCAGATTTTAGAAATTATTAACTTTTCAAATTTTTGCTAATATTAGCCTTTTTTATTTTATAAAATCAACTGTGTTCTTTAGAAATCTATAGTTTTAACTGTTAGCCTATTTTTGGAGAGGGAGATGTCCAGTTTAAAAACAGTCTTTGGTGACAAAGATTTAAAAGAGAAGCGCTTTGGTTTTTCAGACATGATCGATGATGGCCATGTTTTGTGTGTAGTTTTGTCTGTTTATGTGCAGTTATTGAAACCTTTCTATAGTCACCTGGAAAGTTGAGTGATACCAACTCTAGGACTTGGATATCTTACATTTAAAACTTTCACAAATGACTTTTTCTATATGTCATTTTCCCCACTTGAAAATTGAGTCTGTCTCCTCTTACCTTCATAGTTGCCAAGAATAAAGTAAAATGGTATTTCTGAAAATGTTTGAATTCTTATACAAAAGGCATGGCCTAAACCTGAGGTAGTAGTGATATTTATCTAGCACAGTAAAAACCACTATGTAATGGGTGAATGACACAAACAACAAATTTATGTCAAGAATTCAGTTAATTCAACTTGTAGACTGTGTGTTGGACTCATTATTTACAGTCGGCTCAATGGCATAGACTTATATTTCTTATATTGCTCAGACAGAGAAAATACTTCAAATATCAAAAAAGAATTTATCTGTATTTACTCTTTTACATTTACCAAGTTGGGAACTCAGAAAAAGAAAGGAAAATATATTTTTGAAATATTTTAGCATGTTTTTAGAATTGGAAATTGTATCTATTACTTTCAATTAATAGTAAATACAATGTAAACAATCTCTCCCCATTGTTGTTGTACAGTTAATCAAAATTTTATTGTTTTATTCTTTTTTGCGTGTTAAGTAATTTTGTTAAATGCCTTTGAAGCCCCTGACAATTCAATGAAAGATTCTGAAAAGATGCACATAAAATACCTATGTCATAATTTATAGATGGGGAAATTAGGATATGAATTGTATAAGCTTAGGCTCCTGACTTGTTAAGAATTATGCTTCTTTCTTTGTATGGTGTCCGTGTATCTGGGAAAATATTATTCTTTTCATGAGTGTTAACTGATTCATCCTTTTTTCCACTTTACTTTAAAATTCATTTTAAAGGAAGCATTGAATAGTGTGTGTAATCGTTACATTTGTTGTGGTCTTTGTTGACCTTCATAAGATTTTGGTTAAGTCATTCAGAAAGCCAATTTTCAGTCAGTTGTACACCTGTTCCTTTCAAACCTTAGTATGTTTTCAGATGATATATTTACATTTCTCTGGACAGTTAGGGGTGAAGGAAGTTGTACAACTGCCCTCATTTATGACCACAGACATATGAATTTAAACCCTTTGAACATTTGAAGAAGAAACCAGAGATATAACAGAGGTGCTTAAGCCCATAAGACAAGCATTAGTTGTAAAAACTTACTATATTGGAAAAGCCATTACAGAGCTTCTAGGTTGGAAATGAAATTTATAAGAGGAGGACTCTAGATTTTTTCTCATCCCTTATGCATGTGGATAATGCAACTGTGGACAACTGTCTACAGTTGGGACTTCTTTCTAATGTTTGTTTTGATTTCCTAGTTAGATGTTTAAGCAGATGACAAAACGTACTCTTTGGTCGAAAAACCAAATGCATTATAGTTAAAATACTGTTCTCTCTTAATAACTGTAGTTAAATGATTGTTAACTCAGTAGAAACGGCAGAACTTCTTTGATAGTAAACTAGTTTGATTATAAATATTCTAAGTTTAAGTTTGCAGTAGATATAGAATAAGATCGTGTTTAGGTGTATTCAGTTTTTTACCCTTCAAAGAGGTGAAAGAAGAGCAGAGTTCTTGTCTCTTCTCTTGCATGTCTTCTGGGATACCTAATACTGCTTGACGAAAACTTTTTACTATGGAAACAAACCTTCATTTAACAGATAACTCTGGAAGAAATAAACCCAGATTAGCAAATTTCATTTAGGATATTGAAGTATAATTTTTAAGTGGGTGTGGTTGTGATTCAATTTTGAAATTATATCTCTTATAGCTCTGGCACAGCTTCTTATACTGGTTTATGATTGAGGTATGAATTTGACATATTCTCACTTAGACTCTAGTTTGTTTGGGGAGGGGAATAAATGTGGGGGCATTTTTCTCAGACATGTTTTCTTTTGGTCTATTAGGTTAAGTTACTGTCTCATCTGTTATCAAGATTACCAATCGATTGTTTTGGTTGTAATTAATTAATGTCTTTGCTTATATAAAAAAGATACTTTATTTGAGGATAACATTTCTTTTTACTTTTGAGGTGCTTCTCCCCAGCCTCAGTTTTATTTCTTTAACATTTTATACTTGATGTTACAAAGCACTTACTTCTTTTACATATGAGACTTTCTAATATAGTTTTTTTTCAGGTTAGGGTTCTGTTGTTTTTCTTCAAAGAATCTTAAAATTCTTTGGAAAGATAGTTTATTTATGGATTCCCTCAGGGTCCAGGGAATCCTGGATTTCCTTCAGATAACCTTTTATTACAATTTCTGATGTTTCAGCCTGACATGTATGCACTGTGTATCCTGGACCGTAACATTAGTTAACTGTTTCCTCTGCCATGATTTTGCCTCCTTAGCCCCATCTCCAGTCTCAAATTTTAAAATACGTTATTCACTCTGGTTTATTTCAGACTCAAGAATGAACAATCCGTCAGAACCCAGTAAACCATCTATGGAGAGTGGAGATGGCAACACGGGTAAGAGAGAGTTCTCTCATCTAGCTTTTTAATTAGATCTAATGGAGCTAAAAGAAGAAACTTCCCACTTTACTAGAACATGTATTTGGCAAATACAGAGCAATTTGAGTATTGACTTGTCAAATATGATTTAGTACTTGCAGGAACCAGGATCATGTTTGTTTAAGATAATCTACTTTTCTTTGCAGATTGCTTCATCTCTTTGCTTCCATCTATCAGAGAAACAACAGGTAGTTACAAGAATTATCCTTTCAATCAGATAGTTCTGGGTATCAATTATAGATTTGCCACTTACTAGCTGTGTGACTTTAGGCAATTTCTCCAATCTTTTTGAAACATAATTTATTCAATTATAAAATGGGGATAAAATATTTCAGAGGTCACTGTATTAAAGGAGATAATATATGTGAAGTGTTAAGCAAAGTGCCAACAGCACAGTAACCATTCAGTAAAGTGTTGCTCTTGTTACAGGTATTAATCAAAATAGTAAACCTTATCTACTCACATTTGATATAAATCATATTAAAGTTATGATAGTGTCATGTAGTTATTAATATAAAGACATACCCATTTTTAATACATCCTTTTATTTGGTAATTTTTTAAAAAATTTATACTTGATTAAACCTTTTATCAGGAGAAAATTAATTATCATTTAAATGAGAATACTGAGGCCCCATGAGAGAAAGGTAAATCCATAAAGGATAGTTTGTATCCACAGCCCATACTCTTAATTCAGTGTATTGCTTGAGGACATTTGACTATGTGTCTTTATTATCTGCCAGAGATGGTACAGGGACTTCCCCAGTTTCTGATACAGACACAAATACAATTCTAAACCAAATAAGAGAATTATGGGCAAGGATGCACAGAAAGTAACTGTTTCTGAAGTAAACGAGGTTTTTCACTAGCAGAGAGGGTTCCCTCTTTGGCCATCATTTTGCAAAATGCCTAACTATGGGAGATGGGTAAGAATCAGAGGCACTTTTGGAGGCTGTCTTTGTTTTTCCATTTCTATGGGTCATAAAACCTTTTATTAATAATTTGTAGTAGATGGATAGGTTGGACCAATATAGCAGTTTCCTGCCTACATGTCTTCCATTGTAAACTGTTCTGTATCTGGAGATGCTTATTTATCTTTTAATCTCTGAAATGCACCTACCTCTTTATGTGAAACTGAGCTGTGGGGCTTCCATGTTCATCCCCATTGTATTTAACATGTTTCATATTATTCTAACTGAGGCTAACCAAGTAGACTACTGTAGTATCTCCTGAGAAGGGGAAGGATAGCATTGAATTCTTTCTAAATTATCCGCCACAGTCTCCTTTCTGTTACTTCTCTGTCCCCTGTTTGGGCCCCTCTTCCTTTATTTAGTAGCACTGGTTCTTGTGCCAATGCAGGTGCTTTGGCCACCTAGCTTATGGATGGGACTTGTTTTCAGAGAGTAATAGGGCAGTAGATCCCATTAAGAGGCCAAGGGAGAGGGGCAGGACACCTGTGCCTAAAGGATAGCTTCAAAGAGGAAGCATGTTTTTCTCTCTAAGGGAGGAGAAACAGATTCACTAAATGATTGGAGAACATGGAGAATATCTACTGCATTAGACTCAAGGCATCCCCATATTTACTTTAATGCCACTGCTATAATAGCAGTTTTAGTAGTCACCATTTTTTGAGCACCTGTAACATTTAATAAAACCCCTGTGACATGTTTTTAAAAATCTTAAGCTCTGTATACATTACCTGATTTTAATTTAAGTTCTTATGACAAGTTAGATATTATTACTATTTTAAGGAATAGGGATGTGAGGCACAAATCCAGGAAATAAAGGCAGGTTTAAGATTTGCAGCCTGCATGTGTTTTTTCCCATGAACAGAAATAAAACTGAAAATTTAAGCAGCACTTTGTATGTGTTCAGATCTATGTAAGGTAAATTCTGGCTGGAGCACTTGTTGGAAGTCTTCTGAATTTCTTGCCCTGTTTTAATGTCAAATGCATGGCAAACTCATTTGCACCATAGAGTTGAGCAGTATTAATTTAGATTTTTTTACTTTTAGAAAATTGTAGTTTTCTGAAATTATAATTTTGTGGCTAAACTCTGGCACTTTCTTAGACTTCTCTACTTCCAT